CTGGAGCCGAGCCACAAGCTTAAACATGCTCTGTTTACTAGCAGCGGCGGGAGTCTTTCTTCTCTTAACTAGTATGCCATTACCAAACAAACAAAATCAGACGAATGATTAATGTAAAGACCTTTCACCAGTATGTGAGGGACACATGGTAAATGTGTTGTATGAGAATGACTTTTTCTTCTTAGAAATTTATTTCCACAATTAGAGTGCGTTTTCCAAATTGCACCGTTTTTTTAAGTCGGAAAATACGGTATATATTCGTGTATACATTTATTACATATGAGATGGTACTCAGTATTTGATGAGCTGTCTTGAAGTTCGAAATTATTTTCTCAAAGAAAGTAAAATTGATAGAAAAATGATATTTGTTTTTCCTTGATGGTGAGATTTTAAGGAATGTTTGAAATGTCCTGGAATAACGATTAATACCTTGAGAGCGTGACAGATTAAACAATTCAAAATATCCATCGAACATTGTTTCAGTACCTCACATGTATAGTTTGGTTAAAAGCTACCATAGTACTTTGCTAGTGATTTGTTGTATCAATTTTTCTCTATTTCAAATGATTTTACTGGCTTCCGATATCACAAGTCATTATCAAAGTCTACAGTGTCACCAGATTATCACAGTAATCTCAACTTAGACAGAAACAATTACAAAAAACCTAAAACATCAGTACACACTGACAGGCACAAATTACATTCTTGATACGTAAATAAAAGAAAAAAATACACTCCAGCATTGACGTGAAAACAACAAAACAAAATCAAATCTTCAACAAAGTATTGTTGTCTGTGAATTTTTTTCTAACTTGGAGAATGTCTATATAAATAATAATAATTCAAACAATACCTATATTGGTTGAACAACCACTACTTTATTGCACCGTTTAACTTGAAATTTACCCGATAACATTAAATCGTATATCAACACTAAAAATAACAACAAAGCGCAACAATTAATCCTACAAATTCTTTCGAATAATACAACAATAGTGTAAAAACAGTAAAAAAGAAGCGATTAAAAATATTAGACATAAATCAATAGAATTTTATCAATTTTTGGAAAAAAATGGTCTAAATATATTTAAAAAAAAAGGTTATAACACAAAAATGACATGTAAAAACCACCATATTTGAAAGAAAGCGAATATATGATCCACATCATTATCAACATTTTTGGTAAAAATATAACATTTATTGATAAATAGTTCTTAAAGTCACAGGCTTCTGAAAAAAAATATTAAACAAATGTTCTCAGAAAATCAGGAAAATTATCCGAAATAAAAAAAAAATTTCAAAGAAATGGTTTTAACTCCTCTTTGACCTGACTTTTATAAATGAAAATCTTCTGCCCCAATACACCCAACATATATTGCGCAAGTGTTTTTGCTTGTAATTTCAGTAACTTTTGTTGTTCATGATGACGGTCGTCTTCAAGTATAGAAACCAGAGGTTAGCAGTGAATATTTCGAAGACAGTAGGAAAGCGTAGTTCAGGTTAGCAGTGGATATTTTGGTAAAAGTAGCAGAGCATAGTTCGTCCTTGTTTCTCTTCGCCTGAAAAGCTGGACTGGACATACGGATAGAGTAAACAAAATGGCCGCCTTTATACACGACGGATTGAATATTCTACGTCTTCTGATTGGTTAACCTTGTATTGGCAGACTAGAAAGTGAGTCAAGTCCTTTGGGCTAGCTCACTAGTTACATATTATACACAAAAAAACTGCAACAACTTTTTTCTGCACGAGTAATATTTTTGCACTGATCTATGTTAAGAGAGTTATGTGTTTTATAGATACACATTTCAAAAGCTCCTAAGAATTTTTACTGCATAGCTGAACTAGTACATATATAATCAGAAGATGACATTGTGTCATTCGAATGGAGGAAAGGTTAACTGTAATACCACCTTTGTAATTTAATCCGAATGCTCGCAAAATCTGTAGTGTCTTACCAATCTGAAAGTAGTAGCCAAAAGGCTTTAATATCAGAACCTGTACATTGGATTCTTTATCCTGGTCAGTGTTATTGCAATTTGTTACAGCCCGTGTGTTATTTTATTTTATTTTTTTATTTTTTTGGTACGCGATGCCTTAAGGTCAGCAAGGCAAAATTAACTTGTGCTGCCTTTTGAGTCTAATATCACACTGTTCGTTTCGTTTGCCAGGTTTTCTTTTTTTGGGGAAAAAAAGGTGTTTCTTTTTAACTCATTTTTTTTCCTTCTCGCTTTCCCGAACTCGTTCCTTGATTTGCTTTATCTCTTCTGATAGACGACCGCTGTTAACTGTTTCTTCTTCTTGAAGAAGGAAATAATGGATATTTACAGGAAGAAGAGTAAAAAGAAAGATCGCGAAAGTTTTCTTTTGGAAAGAATGACATAGTATATAAAAGGGGCGCGCGTCAAAGAGACTGAGAGTTGCTAACAGAACAGAAGTTGATAATGATGCAGTGTGAGAAAATCTTTAATGTCCGTTGCCCCTTCAGAATGCAGAAGATCAAGGCTCTCCGCAACTTCCCAATTAGCTCTAGTCAATCTTTGTCTGCAGGAGAGGAGTGTAAAAGTCAAAAAAGAAAAGTAAAATGGAATGAGAAGAAACTGTGATATATATATATATATATATATGTGTGTGTGTGTGTGTGTGGATGACGATGACTATATATATATATATATATATATATAGAGAGAGAGAGAGAGAGTGACGGAAGGAGGTGGAGAGGGATAAGATATAAGAGAGGAGTAGAAAGTTTGGTTGATAATCCGTATGTGCGTATATATATATATATATATATATATATATATATAGAGAGAGAGAGAGAGAGAGAGGGTGGGGAGACAGAGAGACAGAGAGAGAAAGAGAGATAAGATATGAGAAAGGAGTAGAAAGTTTGATTTTGTTTCGCGGTATATCAACACACTTATGGGTTATTTAATGCTGAATCTAAATATTTTGAAGACACTTTTATGGTTTCAACTAAATGTAATTTGAGCGTAATTCAGCTATAAAATAAAATGTATTTTTGTCAATTTGTCTTTAATAATGTATTCTTAATTTGTAATAAATACGTATTGACACTTTTACTATAAATATGTATTGTTGGTAATTCTTTTTATATAAAATATATATTATTAGACTTTCATAGTGTTTTGTTTTTATTTGGGTGTTCACTATTTGCCCATAGTTGGGACCCTAACAGGCGCTACTACTCCAGATTAGGGTGGACCTGGGAACAACAGCAATCAATAGGTGGTTCCACGCTAGGAGTATAAAGCAGCCAAAAGCAAAAAGAAAAACATATTGATCTGATTGGCAAAGAGTGAGACATTGGTACCCAGATTATGGAAACATGTAAAAGATCTTATTTGAAGCATAAGCATTTAATGAATGTAATAAAATGAAACATAATTAAAAAGGACAAGAGAAAAATCTACACCTACAATAAATGGCAATACGAAAAGAAACAAAAATGAAAAGAGAAAAAAAAAACAACTGGATATTGTTCCTAATTCGTCATAACTCGGGTCGAAATTGGAAATATGAGAAGATAAAAATACATACGTATCAATGATATATATTGACACGAATATATCTATAAAGAGATCACACTAATTTACACTAATTATATTCAAACTGCTGTCCTCATCTTATCACAACGTTTCGGCAGTTGTACCATTAGGTTTTCATCAGGTCTATATCGATCTGGGTAGACTACTGGGAATAACGAACTGAACCCTTTATTTAATCTACGAGGGTAGATTTTTTTTCCACTCTTTCCACTCTAGGGTTCAGCTGAGAATTCTCTGTAAGGATAACCAGATGGATATAGATCTGAGGAAGCCCAGAGAGCACAACAGCCGGATATAAATAGTGTAAATAATGACAACTCTTCATATCGGAAATTCAGACAGAGATTAAACTAAATCCGAACAACCAATGATATTGCTGGCATAAGGCTGCATCATCATCATCATCATCGTCATCATCAATCGCTTACACCGCTTGTTGCAGACTTTGCGCCAATATGTAACATCCTTCCCCCACAAAGTTCGATCACCAACAGCAGAGTTCAAAGGGCAAAGATCAAGTCCTGTCCATAAGTGGACATTATCAAGCCAACACTTTGGCTGTCGACCTTTGCTTCTTTTACTGGCTAAATTTCCTTTTAGGCATAACTTACACCATGAGTTGTTCTTTTAATATGACCATACAGTTTAGGTACTTTTGACCTGATAAATGATGTGAGTGAATTAAGCGGGGTAATGTTGAGCAGCTCATTGAAACAGAGATGGCTGTTGAGGCGTTTGTGGTTCTGGAATGTAGCGAGCTTTAGAAGCGACGTTGTCATCTAGTTCAGACAATCAAGTCTATATAACACAACTAGTAAGAAGTAACACGGATCTTAGCTTTCAAATGATGAGGAACTCGTTTTGATGTTAGCACTGCTTTTTTCCTGTTGAAAGTTGCCCACACCCAGAGCCTTAGGACAGTAACCATTACATTGTTGTTTGATAACAGCTTCTGACCGAGATATACAAACTTCGTAACTTTAGTGATTTGATTGTGAGTGGAATTGTTTTTATCGTTTGTCATGTATTTCGTTTTTGAGATGTTGAGGTTTAAGCCGACCTCTAGTGTATGTTTGGCCAGTACATTCAGAAAGCTTTGCAGATCAGTTTTAGAGTAAATTATGATGCCTAGAGCATAGTTAAGGTTTGATAGGATTTGATCTCCTATTTGATAGCCGGACAAGCATTCTTCTTCATATTGGTATATAAGCGCGGCTATGATGATACAGAAAAGAACTGCAGACAGGACGTCTCCCTGCTTAAGCCCCTACACAAAGTATAGTTCCCAGACCTGTGTTGATATCTACTGTTGAGTTGGTGTAAGTTTTTTTTCTTTAGTTTGATAAACTTCTTGTTAATGCTGGTTGTCTCTCACTTAATATAAATTATTTCGAGGATTTTCAATGTCTCAATTTTCAAAAGAGTAAAAAATTACAGAGACGGACATGAAGAGAGAGAGAGAGAGAGAGGGAGAGAGAGATTAAGTTTAACGTAATTGGGGGCAAAAGAGTATGAGAGAGAGAGAGAGAGAGAGAGAGAGTGTGTGTGTGTGTGTGTATGTGAGGAATTTGGCAAATAATAGAAAACTGTATTGAAGACTAAAAATCAAGATATAGAGACGTAGGGATAGAGTAAAAATAGCCGGGTGGGGAGAAAGAGCGGAATGATTTTGGTAATGGTAATAATAGCCGTTTCCTTATAAGGAAACATTTGGCATTCAGCAGTCATTGACCGAGTAGCCAGTACTGCTAACAGCTGAAATTTATAAAATCTTCCTCTTAAAACACTTTTTTCAGTAAAGTACCTTCATCAAGTCCACTAACTGTTATCGCTCTTACCACTATTGATGAAGATTTTCGTCCTAATCTTTTACTTGGGATAGTGTGGAACGTCAACTTCTTTACTTGCATTATTTACTTTATTCTGAGAGTTATCCTCATCTTCATTGCCATATTCACAACGTTTCAGTCGTTGTACGCCCCAGCCTTCTTCAGGTGATTGCAATAAAGCAAATAATGTAAGTAATCATGATACCTCATCTCAGAGATATAGACAGATTGTAAACATCTTTTGTCATTATTTTCTCTTCGAGTTAGGCGGGATATTCATTTTAGTAGTTGCTGCTGTTGGTAGTCCTCACGGGATGTAGCTTCTGTTATTTAGTACACTTATTTATTTGTGATTATGTAGCGCCAGACCACAAGTTTGGTCTTCACCAAGAGCCACCAGTTTCACTCGCTCAATGTCATTTTTAATCCTTGAGCTGAGAAATCTGTAAGAAGGCTGACAATTTCGATATTTCTGAACATCTTTGGCACCATACATGACATCCATATGAAAATCTTGATCCGACGAGGCTATTAAAGAACAAGACACGAGTTCTTATGTTAATGTTTTGGTCTTTTAGCAACTTGGGGTATTGGATGAGACTACCTCTAGCGTAGTGATTTTTTACATTTAATTTATTTATCTCCGATACTAAATTTATTATAACTGAACCATACATCGTGGTACACCCGTAGAAAAAAGTATAAACGAAGAAAAATAAGAGAGAGAGATTTCAAATATTAGATAAAATTAGAATTGAATTAAAAGAGAGAGAGAAAGACACACACAAGAAGGTAATAGAAAAACAAAGAGAGGAAATGATGTCAAATATGAGAGAAGAGTAGAACAATATTAAAAAATAAAAGAGAGAGACATAGGCAAACTGAGAAAGAGAGAGAGAGAGAGAGGGGAGAGAGTTAATACCTAGAAGATCGAGGGAGTAAAAGAGAGAAAAAGAAAGCGATGATGTCAAATATGAGAGAAAAGTAGAAAAATATTAAAAAATAAAAGAGAAAAATATAGGCAGACTGAGAAAGAGAGAGAGAGAGTTAATACATAGAAGATCGAGGGAGTAAGAGAATGGAGGAGGAAGCAATGATGTCAAATATGAGAGAAAAGTAGAAAATATTACAAATGAAAGAAAGGGTCATAAACAGACTGAAAGAGAGAAAGAGAGAGAGAGAATACCTAGAAGATCGAGAGAGGAAGAGAATAAAAAAAAAAGAGATGATGACAAAATGAGAGAAAATTAGAAAATATTAAAAAAAATGAAAGAGAGATATATAGGCAGACAGTGTGTGTGTGAGAGAGAGAGAGAGAGAGAGAGAGAGAGAGATAATATCTAAAAGATCGAGAGAGCCTCAAAGATGTTTTCAAATATGAAAGAAAAGTAGAAAATATTTAAAATGATGAGAGAGACAAAGACAGACTGAGAGAGAGAGAGAGAGAGTGAGAGAGAATACGTAGAAGATCGAGAGAGGAAGCGACCGAAAGAGATGATGTCAAATATGAGGGAAAAGTAGAAAATACTAAAAATGAAAGTGAGAGACAAAGACAGACTGAGAGAGAGAGAGAAAGAGAGAGAGAGAGAGAGAGAGAGAGAGAGAGAGAAAGAGAATACGAAGAAGATCGAGAGAGGAAGATCGAGAGATGATGGTCAATTGAAAGAGAAGAGTAAAAACAAAACTATTGTCGAGAAAGCGATAAAGTCATCGGATATAGAGAGAAAAGGCAAAATGAGAGAATCATGTAGAAAATTGTAAAGAGAGACAGAGAAAGACAGAGGGAGAGAGAGAGAGAGAGAGAGAGAGAGAGAGGGGTTAAATAAGGGAAAATAAAAATATATTCAGTTTCCTTTTTAAAATTTATTTTGTTTATGGATAACCGTTGTAAATAGATGTTTGCTGTGGATATCTTCCATTGGGATCAACGCAATATAAACAAACACAGACATTTCCAGAAATAGTGACCATCAAAAGACCTCGTGTCTCCTTCGATAGGGTAAAAATAACTGATGTCACTGAACTAACACTATATAAATGTAACCAGAATTATAATCAATGAGTCAACAGCATTTTGCTTATTATAAGAGGATAGGCTTTGTTATGCGATATCGCTGTGAAACGATGGTACGGGTGTCTTTTTCTTTCTATGTGTCGTGTCCTTTCAGGACGTAAGTCGATCATGACTCTCCACCGCCTTCTATCCCTTGCAGCACTCAACAAGTAGCTTCCCTCTGTTATCTCCTCCAGACCACGTTCTGTCGTCCACTTGCTTAAACCGCTAGGTATGTCTATATTTCTGAGATGAGGTATTATGTACACTATTTACATTATTCGGACTATTGTCCTCATCTTTGTCGCCCAGTGAGCGAAATAAAGGGTTCAGTTCGAAATTCCAACCACCTGAAGAAGGCCGGAGCGTACAACGGCCGAAACGTTGTGATAAATATGGCGACAAAGATGAGGACAATAGTCCGAATAATGTAAATAATGCCGCTAGGCATGTCGTGTTGTTTTCCATTGTCTCTCTTTTGATCTATTCGACCAGTGAGTATCAGATTCTCCAAGCCCTCCTTCCTCATTATGTGTCCAAGGAACTTCAGCTGCCTCTTCCTGATGTTAAGTATAAGCCTCCTCTTTGTTTGCATCCTCTCTAAGACCTCATCGTTGCTCACACGCTCAATGATATCCTCGGCGTATCTCTATAGAACCACATCTCGAGTTTCCTGTTTATCTTTGATGAAATCGTCCAACATTTGCTGCCGTAAAGAAGGACGGATGTCACATAACAGGTCAGTATTCTTTTCTTTGTTGCCAAGGTCTTGCCCATGTTTTGGAATGTATTCTTGGTCATCCCAATAAGTCTTCAGATCTCAGTGTCGCACTTACCGTCCTCTGTCAAAACGCTTCCCAGATATTTAAACTTCCGAGTCTGCTTGATTCTAGTGTCCCCTGCCGGCAAATCGCATTTCGGACTCATCTTCTTACTGATGACCATGCATTCTGTTTTCTTGTAGTTCATGCTTAGTTCTTTCTTCTCACTCTCCGTCGCTACCTTCTGTAGGAGATTTTGTAATTTCTTTTCCGTGTCTGCTATCAATACTGTGTCATCTGCGTATAAAGCATCTCATTCGAGTTACCCTACTGCTGGTTGCTTGCTTTTCTTTAAGGGCATATAAACCTTCTATGAGAATTTTAATTATTTACCTTTTTGAGAAACAATGGTTTTAGTCAAACAGGTCTTACCTAGGGGAGCAGAAGAGGTAATTTCAAACTTTTCCGAATAACTTTATAACTTTAACATTTCATTTCATCAGATATTTGGGGAAGTGGAATATAAAATACAAAAGATTTTCATTTAAAAAAAAAAAAAGATTTTAGTCCTTTACACTAAGTCACAAAAGCACAATGATCTTAAATCAATCTATCTATCTATCTATCTATCTATATATATATATATATATATATATATATATATATATAGTGAACATTCCTATTTTTAACATTACGATGAATGTGTATATTGATGTCCGAGGAAAAAACTGAAATAAAAAAAAAAAAGAACCAAGAACATAACACTGTACGAATCCTCTCATCAAGTGCTTGAGCTCCAAGTCCAAAGAAAAAAAAAAAAATCAAAACGAGTAAAATACTACTTCGAGGTGCTGACCATGTCATGGATATATATATATATATATATATATATATATATATATATATATATATATAGTTTATTCAAATTTAGGTAATCCGTATGGGTAGAGCTGAGGAGGATGATATCCAGAGAGCTCAATGTAAAATTCAGAGCAGATATGTTTGAATAAAAGAAAGACCACGTTAAGATTCCATGTAATAAGCTATTTCACCATAACCCCTTTAACAGGGTTCTGGATCATCAGACTTTACTTCCAAAAGCTGAAATGAAAAATGAAAAGAAAATTCACAGGTTTTTTACGGACTTCATCAAATATACGCAAAGTTAACGAAGTGAGGAAGTGAGGTGGGAGAGAGGATGTGAGTGTGTCATATGTATCATTTTAGCTTTCTATTTTAACCCCAGTGTGTCGGCTGGATGTTGCTCTAATCTAACGCGTCTCGTCTCTAGATAAAGGTGGTTAAGGGGTGGGCGATAAAGGCTACATTGAGGAAGACGCGTTATAACAGCCCCAATAAATTATCCGACAGGTTTCATTCAAATTCCTAGACGCTGTCAGTTCTCGTTACTTTAACGTGCATATTTGGGAGGTTAAGGTTTGATAAATATCTAAAATTTTAGAAGCAATCTACGAAGAAATTAATTTGAAATTCGGTGGAGTTTTGGGTATTTCCCATGAAGCAGTCGATTGGAAAGATCTATAGGCAGAGCATTGAAAGAGTAATCCAATTTATACTTAGTACTTTTTCCACTAAAGCTTTTATCTTATAGCTTGTTAGGTTGACATTTATTCGTTTGATTTTTGTTCATTAAGTGAACCTGTGATTGTTTTTTATTTTTGTTCATTAAGTAAACTCGTGGTTGTTTTTAGGCCCTTCTTTTATATTTTCTTATCTACACATGTCTCAACCCCCTATTTGTAACCACATACCTTATCGTCCACACTCACAAAAAAAAAAAAAGGTATGTTTCTTTTTCCGTATAAAAACATATACATGTACATATCAACAGGTGTCTCAGTGTGCGAATACATTATCATGGTTGTATATATACAGTCATGTGTTAGTGTCACTTGTGCATAGTAATATTTCTAAAAACAAAGGGAATATAAAACATTCAAAATTGCTGTTCCTATATGATTATTCCTTAGTGTACTTACTTAGGTTTAGGTTGTTTTTGTGTCGGCATTTAAACACTAGTTCATTATGTTTATTTAGCAGTATGTCCGGATCTTTATGTTTGATTATGAAGATTTTCTCCTTCAGACATAAGTTGCATCTGTCTCTGAAGTTTTGGGGAATTTTGGCTCTTGATATTATTCTCCACTTTATTTGTGGTGTTAGGCCACTCTCCAATAAAGACCAATAATGATTTGATAGTGCTGTTTGTTTTTTTTTTAATTTTATTTTTGAAGGATTGGCGATGGTTGTATAGTCGGTGTTTCCAATCTTCCGCTGATATTCCAATGTATATCTTTTTCTCTTCAACCTTTTCTTTGGGGAAAATTGTTGCTTCATATACTGTGTTCTCTGCCATGCACATTCCCTCAACTGGGCACTCTGATCCTGTCCTGCAGTTGCATGTTGGTTTGTCCATTCGTGTTGTGTCCTGATCTTGTCTTAGATTATCCTGAAGGTCTTTTAAAATTTTACTGTTGTGTGAGCTAATAATTCTCTCCATATTGTTCATGCAAGAATAGCTAATCTTTAGATTCATCTTGTTGAATATTTTTTTTCAGAGATGCATTTTTTGCTAAAGTGTTTTTTCTATCAGTTTTATGAAGTATTTACCTATGTTAATATTGGAGAGGTTACAAAAGGTGGGTTGAACCATAATTTTTTTTTTTCTGTTTTTTTGGGTTTAGTGGATTTTTTACTTACTGACTTATCTATGTAATTTAGTGTTTGTTTAAAATTGCTTTTTGACAGGGCTTTATTGTATTCCCATTTATTCTGGTTAAAAAATTGTTTTACTGGAGGAAAGTTTATTTATTCTAGCATTTACTGTATTTGGGATTTGTTTAATTATTGATTTCGGGTGATTGGAGTGAATATTTATATATACGGGTGATTGTTTTTCCTTTTGGAAGGGTTTATAAGTATTAATGTTCAGATTAAATGTAACGTCTAGGAAGTTTACTATTTTTAAGTTGGAAGAAATCTCGATTCTAAATCCTAGAAATTTGAAGGCCCTAATTATTTTCTTTTGTAGTTGGGATGTTAACGGACCATTAGTATTAGGTACAGCAACTAACCCCATCATCTCTGTATAGTCCTATATTTTGAGGGTCAAGGAATCTACTTAGGATATCTAAAATGTATATACCTATTAGGTCTGCTATTTGAGCTGAATCAAAAGATCCCATTGGGACATCAAAATTGTCTCTATCTTTTTTAATCCAAGTAGTGTTGTTCAGTTTTAGTATGGACTGTCTAGAGTACATTATGATTTTTATTTCTTCGTCAGTAATGTCAGTGTGGATTCTGGCAAAACTATTTTCTAATAATTCTTTAGAGAATTAGGGGTAGAAGTCGATGATATCAAGTTGTATAAAAGTAGTATTATTTTTATTCTTTATTTTTTGGAACCAGTTAATGGTGTCTGATGAGTCTTTCCAAAGGTTTAACGGGTATTTTTTTAATTATGTGTTTATTCTTTTAGGATGTTTTTAGAAATTATTCCTAACTCTGATTTGAAGGGATTTATTAGTCTGGACTGTAGATTATTTTGAAAGTTAGGTTTATGGTCTTTAAAAAGTAGATAGGCGTCTTTTAGATGAGTTGTACCCATTCTATCAGCAATTTTATATTTAAATGCTAATTTCGCAGTTTCTTTGTGTATGGAGTCTAAGTGTTCAGAATATATATATATATATATATATATATATATATATATATATATATATATATATATATGTTTAACACTGATATTTTAACATTCTCATTAATGCGCATTTGGAATGTAATTTCAGAAAATTAAATATATATATATATATATATATATGTGTGTGTGTGTGTGTGTGTGTGTGTGTGTGTGTGTGTGTGTGTGTGTGTGATTTTCAATCTTTTATGGGCACACAATGAAGACCCGCACAGAAATGGCTATTATCGAACTTAAAAATGAGATCCGGAAACCATTACACACGAAATCGTTACAGACGTTTCCGGCATCACTTTGCAGGGAATACGCACAGAGACTCGCTGGTGATTTCTGGTTTGTAAAAGAATATAACGGACACCAATGGAATTGGAACTTGGCACGCCG